AAATTTACTGTCAGACAATTAATACGGTTTTTGACCCTCTCACTCTACAGCTGACTTGCTAATTGCTGTGATTGAAAAATTCTTTAATGCGTTAGATAGATGCAGCAAGAATAGTGTTATTGCTCTTGACTTATCTAAAGCTTTCTACAAAGTTTGGCATGCTGGTCTTCTCCATAAGCTGGCTTCATATGGTGTATCTAGTATTTGAGATTATCAAATTGTTTCTTCCTGACCACTTTATTAAAGTATTCCTTGAAGGCCAACACTCTTCTTCATTTCCAGTAACTTCTGGGGTACCTCAAGGTTCTAATCTTGGTCCTGTTTTGTTTCTATATTAACAATCTTCCCGACAACCTTACATCTAAAGTAGCTCTTTTTGCTGATGACTCAACTTGATACTCTTGTCTTGACAAAAAATCTTCTCTTTTTGATTGCTTAGAACAGGCAGCTGATCTTGAATCTGATCTCATTTTTGTAGCAGATTGGGGCTTGCAGTGGCTTGTGAATTTTAACTCCAACTAAACTCAATACTGCAAACAACTATTGCAATACTGTTAACGTTTCTATATTAATGAATAGCAACCCTCTCACTGAGTCCTCTTCTTTATATCTTCTTGGATTATTGTTCACTGCTAACCTTTCATGGAAATCATATATACAATTGATTGCTAAACTAACATTTGCTAGAGATGCTTCTCTTTATCATGCTCGCCATTTTTTTTACTTCTGATTCCATTCTTTACCTCTACATATCTTTTATTTGTTCCTGTATCAAGCCTTCCCAGGAAATGCCTGCTGTTTTCTGTCTTGCTTGTCTACAAAAGTTTTTTATTTAGATGACTGGGTCATTGTCATTTGCAAGTTTTATTATATTAGGCTTTTCAATACTATGCGACAAAAACAAAGAAAGGTAACAAAATAGGAAATTAAATAAATTAAAATAAGAAAAAATGAAAAAATTAATTATCTAAATAATTTGCCTGCTGCTTTTATTTATGTTTTTTTTTGATAGGTAGAACTAAGCACACTGAGCTAAATGTTATAAAGCAACAGGTATCCAAAATTATATAGCGCTAAAAAATTGGGGATAAAAAGTGTACAGGAATAGAAAGGTGATATAAAACAATGAAGTCAGTGTGAAATGTGTAGGTGGCATGGAATAATTGAAGCTTTAAAACTATGTATATATTTGTGTATGCCTCACTTAGAAAATACACTGAGAGGCTAAAATGGTATAAGAGTTCTGAGTGTGAAATGATGTGTAACATTCAAAAACATATAACAGAAAGACTTTTTTATATACAAAAAAGAAAAGATAAATGGTTACAAAGCAAATATACAAGCAGCAAGATTTAAAAAAACAATGAAAAATTGGATAGTGGTGGGGTTTGAACTACTGCCATTTCATGTATGAAGTAATTGGTTTATCCAAATAAGCTAAACGTGCGTATACTGTTTTATAAATAAGTTTAATTATTCAATTAAAAAAACGATGTAGAAAGTAAAGACTATAAGCTAGATACATATATATGCATACATGAACAAACCAACATGAGTGTATATAAACATAAATGCATGCATAACATACTTTTTCATTTAGGGACATTTGTTACATTAAAGTAATACAAATATATATTACAAACTGATTATAATCTATACTTTTTCTTCTTTAAAAAAACAAATGAAATATAGGAAAATCAGTCTTTTTAATGACTTAAAACTGTTTTTTTTTTTTTTTTGCTTTGCCTCATTCAGCTTCGTTGTTGAAAAAAACAACCACCCTAAAAAATATAAAACAAAAACAGTACACAAATAATTTAAATTATTAATTATTTTCTATTTTTTTCTATTTAAATTTAATTAATTTCCTATTTTATTAGTTTTGCTTTCTTTGTTTTTTAAACTTAGTTTTTTCTACAAAGTATTGAAATGCTTAATATAATAAAACTTGCAAACAACCGTGACCAAGTTGTCTAAATAAAAAATTATGCATGGATTTTTATTTAAAAATAAAGGAATAAAAAATTGAGTCATTTTTTTCATTAAAACCACTGTTTTTAACAAAACAGTGGTTTTAGGTATATTTTTGCAAATATTTCTTTTACAAAAAATTTTTATTAAATTAAATTATTATTTATAAAACATGCATTTCTTTCTGCTTTTTTTGAGTCCAAGGTTGATATGGTTTAGAAAAAAAAAGTTCAAAAATATTTCAGGACCTGTCAAAAATTTCAGGACCTGTCAAGAATTTCAGGACCTGTCAAGAATTTCAGGACCTGTCAAGAATTTCAGGACCTGTCAAAAATTTAGAATCTAAAGAGGAACCTCAAGAGCTCATCAAAATCAGAAAATATTTTTTTATTTTTTTTCTTATAATTAATAGACATTGGTTTGCGTCTCAGGAATATTTATTTTCAAACTTTTTTTTTTGCTATGAAAATTGCTCCACCCTAGTATGCATATTTAAAATTTATAATACATATATTGAGAAAAATCAATTTTACTTGAACAAAAACATATTTTGAACTTATTTGTTTAGGAAATAACTTTTTATAATTAAGAGGGAGTCAAGAGGAGTCACTAAGTGATGATTTTCGTTTTGATCAAAAATTAGACAATGAAAATTCTTTTGCTTTCTATTGAGGTTGGTCGTATGCAAGTTAAGGCATCAAACAGCTTTTTAAAATTATTTTTAATATTTTCAGTATTCTCATCCATTTGAAATGTCTTTTTTGAAGTCTTTGTTAGAACCTAAGTTATAACACACTTTTTAAGTTTATATGCTGCATTTATAGCTATCGCTAATTCTCTTTAGAAGATTCACTTTCAATTCCAATATCAACATATTCACTGAGTAATCTATTAAATAAGTCATTGCATAATGAATACTTGCAGCTTTTAAAGATAAAGGTAGCTTAGGAGTAGAAGTTTAATGTAAATCATGAATTTAGAGGTCATGAATCAAAGTCACAAGATCATTATTATTTTGCTCTTTAACGCTAAGAGACAGAGCTTGCAACATCTCCTCTAAAATTGCATCATTGTTGTTATGCAGGGAATCAAACAAAAAAATTTAAAATTGCATCAGGTGTTAGAAAATTTGCATCACATTTACCTAATGCTTCTGCAGCTATTTTGATTGGTTCAAGAGCGTTAGAAACATTTTTCAAAACTGAAACATAAATATTGTTAATTAGCTTTAGGAAGTTCAACTTATTTGATGCTTTATTCAATGTGTTTATAACTTTTAAAAATCTTTCAAAAATTGTTGCAATACTGTTTCATCTGTCCGTTCCATTGGTCCTGCAATCTAACAGTAAATTGAGTTTAATTCCGTGCTCTACTTTTACATAGTCTTGTAAAATGAATTTTCTTTTAGGCAAATGTTTAAAAAACTTATCTATTTTTCTAATCATTTTTATAGCCACATTTATATTTTCTCTTTCGCATATTTCTGATTTGAAATCGTTTAGATTATCATTTTTAAATTTGCTCGAGTTTTCGAGTTTTCTTTTAATAGAGTTTTCACTGGAAAATTTGCTCGAGTTTTCTTTTAATAGAGTTTTCACTGGAAAATTTGCTAGAGTTTTCTTTTAATAGAGTTTTCACTGGAAAATTTGCTAGAGTTTTCTTTTAATAGAGTTTTCACTGGAAAATTTGCTAGAGTTTTCTTTTAATAGAGTTTTCACTGGAAAATTTGCTAGAGTTTTCTTTTAATAGAGTTTTCACTGGAAAATTTGCTAGAGTTTTCTTTTAATAGAGTTTTCACTGGAAAATTTGCTAGAGTTTTCTTTTAATAGAGTTTTCACTGGGAAATCAAGATTAGTTTTCTATAGAATGTGACAAACATTAGAATTTTCATTTCTATTATAAATAACGTCCATTACAGCCAAGTTTATGCCATCAACCAAATTTTATCATTACAGCAGCAGCAATAATGATCAAAATTGATCATCAGATTGATGCAACAACATCTAAAGAGATAATTGCAAACTCTGATAGTTTCTCTTTAACTTGGTCAATTATTACTTCAGCTGTACAGCTTTCATGAATTTTAACTAATCATAAATTAATAAATAACTTATTGAAATGAATATTGATATTCAAATATCTTTGATTGCGTAGTCTCATCAATTCATCATGCGTTTAACTAAATTTTCCTTTTTTTTATTTGTGTGATTTTATTTTAACAAAAAATTCATTTTTTGCCATAGCGCAATATTCATGAATTAGTTCATCACATTGTTTTTACCTTTTAGAAGATGATATTGTTTTTCACATAATGATTGACGAATGAACTCACTTTTGCATATACCGTAAATTGAAAATCTGGCTACAAATCATAAAATATTTTCAAACTTGTCAATACGTGGATAAATGAATGTTATTCAAATTTTCTTGAATATTAAATTTAATTTTTTTAAAAATTAAATTTAATATTCAAGAAAATTTGAAGGTTTTAAAAAATAACTACCGTTTTGTATTTGAAATTTATGTGTTTGTTTTGAATTACATTTTTTAAGCTATTATGTATTAAAACTTTTTTATGTTTGCTTTAAATCACATTTAATTGAAAAAATTATGATTTGGTTTTTACATATTTCTATATTATAGGTGACTTCTAAAATCAGATTATACACATCAAATAGCTTTGTGAACATTAATATGTTTTTATTTTGAATAAATAACTATCCTAATATAATAAAGTATATAAACAAGTAATTCTTTGATTTTAACTTTATCCTGGGTAACCAAAAATATGAAGTATAAAAAATTCCTAGGAATTCCCGGGAAAGACCCCCTTAGCTGTAAAACATTCTAACTCTAGTCACTAATCTTGAGTTCCAGATTTATACTTGCAAAAACAGATATTATAAAAAGTAAAATCTTTGATTGTAAATAATTAAGTTGTAATGACATAGTTATATTATTTATTATAAATTAATTATAACTTACAAAGCTATAATTTTATGGTGTTAATAATTTTTTGAATTTTCTAGCTTCGACATAGAAACATATGCAATAAACTTAAAAAAAGAAAAGTTTTTGATTCAAAAAAGCAACGTCTACAAGGGATCCCTGTTAAAACTATTACAGCTTCTTCTGCTCCTCCTAAGGTATTCTTATTTTATGTTTAGTTTTGATATTTATGTAATTCATAAAATTTCAATAAATACCAAAAATGTTTCACGAAATTAATCACAGTATTTATATAAAATTTAGACATTCTAAAAGTTTTAGATAATATTTGTTTTGAATGATTTCAGAAAATTAGAATATGTTGGATAAATTATTCTATAGCAACTGTTTTTATTAAGTTTTATCTTACTAATATCTAATGTTTTTTTCTTGTTATGTTAAAAACACTGCACAGTTTCTCAAGTTTTGGTACAGAAAGAATAGCTGCTTGAGTTTTGACCTACTGTGTTTAATGTAAATTTGAGTCAGTCAGAATTAGGTTCTAGTGTATTATAATTATCGTAATTATTGTAATATAAAAATTATTCAGATATTCAATATAAAATTGTTTTTCTGCAGATAAATGGTGGAGTACAAAGAAAAGTAAGACTTTCAACACAAATTGTGTTTTTGTAATTTTTAACATAAATCTTATTGTTTTTCATATCACAAAATTGAGAGTTTTTTTATTTTAAAATAATTGCTTAATGCACATAAAGTAAATAAGAACCACCAATCCAACACTTTGATAATATACCTTCAATCATATTTATATACTTGTAAACTTAAATTAATTAAAAATTTTGTTAATTAATTAATTACTTACATTAATGTAAGTTAATAATAATAATCGTTATTTTTATTATTATTGTAAAACTCTATGTAGTAAAAATCTGTTATTGTATATTATGTTATAATAAAATTTAAACTGAGATATTTTATATTTCTGAACCAGAAATATAAAATAGTGTAAGTGTGTTCAAAATGTCATGCAAAAAAAAAGTGACTGAAATTCACAAATGCTTCATACAAAATATAGGCAAGTATATTGAAAATTTGGTATAACTAGACAATACCATATAAATAGTATTGGTTGTTATATAATTTTTGATATAAAAGAAAAAAATTAATTTTCAAAGGAAGTTTTTTTCACATTTTCTCTTCATATTGCTGCAGATTCCAAAAAAAAAAGCAGATTGGCGAGCTACACACAATGACTTCATAAAAACCATTCGAGCGGCACGAGGTGTAACTGCTGCTTTAAAATCTGGTAGCGAACTTCCTCCTCCTCCGTCACCAACCTTTAATCCAGATTATGTCCAATGTCCTCATTGTGATAGAAGGTTTAATGAGTCTGCAGCAGAGCGTCACATTGGATTTTGTAAAGATCAAAAATCAAGATTACCTAAAAATGGTGATTCTAAATACGGTGTGAACAAAGAAAAACAAGATAAAAGAATACAAGTATGTTTACTAAATTTTTTATATTTTTTTATTTTTCTACAAAGCCTACCCTTTTGTATTAAGACATTAAAATAATTGCTGCTCTATCTAAATTTTTCTATTTTTGATGCAAGTGTTGTAAACAAATAAAACTGCAGTTCTTTCAACATTATTTTGACGCTTTTTTCAGGCAGTGTTTGCCTAAACCTTTTTTCCTTATTCATATTTAAATTCTTAGGTACCTTTTTTTTCTTTTTTTTTTCTGAAAGTATTTCTAGCAATAAATAATTTCAAATCATTTTAACCAGTGTTTCACAATTATATCACATTGAATAATTATATGGGATTAGCAATAAAATTTTTAAATAGGTAACATTTTGTAAGTGTATTTTTTCTCAATTTTATATATATCATAGTTAATTTGAAAGTAATCTTAAATCGTTTGACATTTTTGTACTTTATATTTACAAAAAAGTTGTAAAACTATTATTTGATTTATTAAAAAAATATTTAAATAGCTTTAAATACTGACACAATAATCATTTGAAATAAAAAATACTGACACAATAATCATTTGAAATCAAAAATGTGAGTAAAAATAATAATCTTAGTTGCAACTATCTCATCTGCATTATTTGTTGCAACTATCTCATCTGCATTATTTGTTGCAACTATCTCATCTGCATTATTTGTTGCAACTATCTCATCTGCATTATTTGTTGCAACTATCTCATCTGCATTATTTGTTGCAACTATCTCATCTGCATTATTTGTTGCAACTATCTCATCTGCATTATTTGTTGCAACTATCTCATCTGCATTATTTGTTGCAACTATCTCATCTGCATTATTTGTTGCAACTATCTCATCTGCATTATTTGTTGCAACTATCTCATCTGCATTATTTGTTGCAACTATCTCATCTGCATTATTTGTTGCAACTATCTCATCTGCATTATTTGTTGCAACTATCTCATCTGCATTATTTGTTGCAACTATCTCATCTGCATTATTTGTTGCATCTATCTCATCTGCATTATTTGTTGCAACTATCTCATCTGCATTATTTGTTGCAACTATCTCATCTGCATTATTTGTTGCAACTATCTCATCTGCATTATTTGTTGCAACTATCTCATCTGCATTATTTGTTGCAACTATCTCATCTGCATTATTTGTTGCAACTATCTCATCTGCATTATTTGTGATTGCTATAATATGAAGTTGTATAAGTTTTTCAAATGTCTCTTCAATTTACTTGTAATATTGGAACAAATTGATTAGGCGTTTTTAATACTTATGAAGTAGGACATTCAGTTTTTATAGACCTATCATTATTATTTTATTATATCTTATACATATCATATATGTTTATTAATCTTTAGCTTCAGATGGACAAAAGTTAAAAATCTTAATACTTGTATTTGTTTAGTATAGTATGAACTTGTAACTATATGTAAATTGATGGAGGGAAAACAAAAGTTAAAAATACTAAAAATAGTTTTTTATCTTATATATAAACATTGTTTCCGCGCGATGTTGATTGTCGTATTGACGTATTTTGATAATTTTCTCATTATCAGATTTTTCTGTCCAATCATCATCAAGCTATTTTTTTTATATAACTGTTACCCGTACAAATGTTTCTGTTGCTAATTTAGCATAGCCTTTATTTTTATGACAATTTTTTATAAGCTTTGAATACTATTCAGAGTTTTTATATTAAAATTACTTCACTTGAATCATCAGTTTGAAATAAACCTCCATTTTTTAATGACAGTTCTGTTAGGCATAATGACTTATTTTGAGCTTGCTTACTGTATTACTAATGTGTCTGTTGCGATTTAATGGAAGCCTTAACTTCTATCAAATTAAAAAAAAGTTTTGTTACTAATGTTTGTTCTCCACATGTGTTTAACATAACTATACCAAGACTAAACTTTATACTAAACTATACCAAGGCTAAACTTTCCTAATATACTTACTGATCTTAAATGATATTTAAAAAACCGTAAACATGTAAATTATTTTATTAGTTAAATGGTTTTAACTAATAAAACAAATTAAAATTATATTTTATAACTTAATAAAATAATAATTGCGCTTAAAAAAGCATGAGAACTACATGCATTTAAAAAGTAATATTTTTTAACCTTGCTATACTTAAATAAATTTGAGTAAAAAGAAAAAATGAATTGAAAAAAAAATGAATGAATTTTTGTTTTAATAAAACATGTCAAACTTGAAAAGCAAGTAATTACAATAAAAAAATTATAAAATAATGTTTAACAAATATTATATATTTTTTACATGTATTTCAATTTGCATGCTGACACTTTAGGATATTCAGTTGAGCAGTTGTATGCCGTCCTAAAGCAAAGATAGGTCGGCTTTTGCATTGGCATTGCCGAATGCCGACCTGAATTTCGCTGACTGCCTTTTTAAAAAATTGAGAATCAAAATCTTTTCATTTTTTTTATGATTTATTTTCAATTTTTCCAGCTGTCTGATTTTGACTGACCTTTTTTATCTTTTGTCTAGTAATTAGTGAGTAATTAGTGAGTCTAGTAAAGTCTAGCTTAATTTGTGAATGTCTGTTGTCTTCATTGTGAAATTTTCCGAATTCTCCAACTTCATAGCCATTTTTTTATAATCTTTTTTAGGTATTCTTATATAACAAAGTTAACACTCATCTCTCTGTAAATGATACATTATTTAATAATCAATATGGTTTCAACTCGATCATCACTACCTATATAACTATGTTATAGAAAGTTAATGATATTAACTATGTTATAGTTGAAACATTTTTTAAAATATAACTTCATCTACAGCCTTATTACATAGAGCTTAATAGACAGCAAAACATTACTTTTAATGCTAACAAGGTCACAGCAGAATAATCTATCACAAATAAACATGTCATACTACCTCATACCAAAGTTCTATATAGTTGTTGATGATGAATAAGATGAAAAAATAAAATCTGTAAAAACTTTTGAGTAAATTTGTTTTGATAAATTGGCATAATATAATTGACCCAAACTTATACTCTTATCTGAGTGGTTTATTTATTTAAATATTATTGGTTGGTTTTAAATTAAAACTTGAATTTGTGAAGGAATCTAAATATTAAATATTATTTTTAGCCTATTTTATTATATTGTTTTTTTATATTGATTTATTTTGTTTTGATAAACTCAGTACCGTCCTCCAGTACCAGGTTTGAAAAAGCCAGAAAGTTCTCCAGTAAAAGCAAAAGGTGCAGGTTAATATTTCTTTTTTCTTTTTATTTTCATATATTTTTTATTAAATTAAAACATATCATTAAAAAAATTTTTTTTCTGTTAATAATTTAGTTTTATGAAATGTTATAAAAAGTTATAAAATGTAAATTTTTATATTATTAGCATTGCCTGCTGGTTCAAAAACTAACAGTTTGCCCGGTTTGAATAAAAAAGTGGAAAGTTCACCCCTTAGAAGTGATACAAAGTCAGACGCACGTTTTGGTGGAAAAGATATGAAACTTAATTTTGGTATAGTCTTCCAATTCGATATATATATATATATATATATATATATATATATATATATATATATATATATATATATATATATATATATATATATATATATATATATATATATATATATATAGACACACACACAAATACACACACACGTGTGTGTATGTGTGTGTACACATTTATTAGGGTGCCTTAAACTCCCCTTTTGATAAAAAATAATGACTCAGTGTTTTTTTATGTGTTGTAGTTATCCTTTGTGAATTATTTAAGCTCAATTGTCTAATGATTAAGTCTATTTTCTATTTAATTGGAAATATTAAAAAAAAGTCATTAAAAGTAGGTCAACTTGGTATTAAAATGAAGTGAAATTTTATAAAAATTTAACTGTTTTAAAAAAAAAGCCTTTTTTTTCTTATTTTCTTTATTACATTTTAAAACATTTCATTAATATTTAATAAAACTTACAAGCTAAAATGTAATAATATAAACACTTACAAGTGAAGACTTTTAATATGTTCAAAAAATAAAGAATGGGAAAACTCGTAGAAGACCGTAAGGTCTTGTTGTTAAGAACCGCTGTAAAATGATATGTTACATATTTACATATAAAATATTTCATGTAGAAAATAAAAAAAAATTAGTTAATGTTAATTAAAATAATAAAAGAATAAGATTTAAATAAAAAAATTTTTGAAAGGGGTTCCAAACCTCAGAGACATGTTGTGTTCATGTTAAAGAGAATAATAAAAAAAGACTTTTTGAGCTAATTTTTTTATATATAGTTATAGTACATGATGCCATTGATTTTTTTGTTTCTGTGCATAATTGATCTTTTAAACATTAAAAGAATATTATATACGTTAAGTTGATATACATTTAATACATTCATTTTTCTTAAGAGAGGCTTTATATGAGTTCTTTGATTACACAAATTAACTAAATGTGCTATATGTTTTTGATGAAGATGAAGAGGCTCTAGTTTATTTTTGTTAGTACTGCTGCATGTTTTGTTAGTACTGCTGCAATATATGAATAGTTGATATGGCAGTGAATAAGTGAATAATACAGTGGCGTTAAAGTGTGGATGTTTATATAGCTTTTTGATTTGTATGAAATTCCAATACTTTTTGAAATTTTGTTGTTTAAATTTTTGATGTGATGTCTTCATGTAAGATTTTCATCAATATATACTCCTAATAACCGTGTAGTTTTTATTTTTTACTTGAATACTATCAATGAATATAGAAGGTGATTTGTATGATATTAAATTTTTTTGGAAAGTGAGTGAAATAGAGTCCAGTTAGTTTACTAAAAGTTTATTTTTTTTTAACCAGTTAGAATTTTTTTCTAGTTCTAATTTCATAATTCCAACTAAATACTGTTATGCGATAAAAATAAATTTGTGTTGCCGGCAAACTGTCCTCAGGCTGCTTTATGTTGATTATTGATATATATTAGAAAAAGGAGTAGCCTGAGTATAGAACCTTGTGGCAAGCCACAAGTAATATTTAGTAACGTTTTTGTTGATATAGCATCAATGTGTACATATTGAGCACAATTATTTAAATAACTCTTTACCAATTTTAAAACAACTCCTGTGATATCCTGTGATAGTTCAAACTTTTTAATAAGAGTTTGTGGGCCATATTAAACAAATTGTTTATTAAATGACTTGTTAATACTACATGTAAACTGAAGTGTTGCATCTTTGATGGAGTTATTTTTTTGAAACCATATATTGATTATTAAATAATATATTAGTTACAGAAAGATAAGTGATAATTTTTTATATAAGATTCTCTCTAAAATTTTTGAAAATACAGGAAGACCAGAGGGTGATAGATAGTTATTTACATTAGTTGCATCCCCTTCTTTGAATGTTGGTTTTACTTTAAAATTTAAAGTTGATCAGGGAAAGTTCCCTAGCTAACACAAGACAAAAAGATTTTAAATAGAATATTTTTAATAAAATTGTTGATATTGTTGAATCCTATTGCTTTATTTAGTTTAATCGTTTTAAAAATTCTTGAAAAGATATTTCAATGCAGTTAGGATTTTTTGTTCTTTGAGGTAAAAATTCAAAAGAATCTAGAGGTCCTCTCTGGAGTCTTGGGCCACTGCAGTGGAAAAGGCTACTGCAATGGAGAAAACTCCAAAACATGAATTTGCTAAATAAGATCACTGCACAGAGAAACAGGTTGAGCGCAGTACTTCCAGAAGTATAGATTAGATTTGAACCTTTTACATTTTGATTATGAGTGTTATCTTATTCTTGGTTATCAGTCAGTTGATGTATGTACTTATGTTTACATTTTCATATTTCATCAAAAAATTTTGAAGTTACTTAAAAATACTAAAAATTAAAAAGCAATATATAAATTTGCATATACTATTTTATATATATACAATATTACAATGGCCTTACTACAATGGAATTACATTACAATGGGTAAAAAATAGTTTCATGTTCATTATTTGAAAGAATTACAAATCTTTTGTAATTGACATTCATTTAAAAGAATGTGTTGTATTTAATTATTTACTAATTATTATTACTGGCCTTAAAAAACCCACTTGAAATATATATTTTTGGACAGCATTTAACTGTTTGCACAGTTTCTATTATATATTATATTGATGTAACTATTTATGTAACTTTCATATTGTCATTAGTAACTATTTATGTAACTTTCATATTGTCATTGGTAACTATTTATGTAACTTTCATACTGTCATTGGTATGTAACTTTCATATTGTCATTGGTAACTATTTATGTAACTTTCATACTGTCATTGGTATGTAACTTTCATATTGTCATTGGTAACTATTTATGTAACTTTCATACTGTCATTGGTAACTATTTATGTAACTTTCATATTGTCATTGGTAACTATTTATGTAACTTTCATATTGTCATTGGTAACTATTTATGTAACTTTCATACTGTCATTGGTAACTATTTATGTAACTTTCATATTGTCATTGGTAACTATTTATGTAACTTTCATATTGTCATTGGTAACTATTTATGTAACTTTCATACTGTCATTGGTAACTATTTATGTAACTTTCATACTGTCATTGGTAACTATTTATGTAACTTTCATACTGTCATTGGTAACTATTTATGTAACTTTCATATTGTCATTGGTAACTATTTATGTAACTTTCATATTGTCATTGGTAACTATTTATGTAACTTTCATACTGTCATTGGTAACTATTTATGTAACTTTCATATTGTCATTGGTAACTATTTATGTAACTTTCATATTGTCATTGGTAACTATTTATGTAACTTTCATACTGTCATTGGTAACTATTTATGTAACTTTCATACTGTCATTGGTATAAAGAATGCAAGAGAAACATCATGCAGCATAATCAGCAGCAGTCTCTTCAACAATTGGAGCAAATGTTGAAATGCAAACCCCTGGGTCTGTATCAGCAAAGGATGAATTAAAATATGATTTAAACATAAATGTGAACTGTGCTAACAATTGCAAGCATTTGAGGACAATATTCTATACTATGGTATCATTTGTTATTGGATTGTACAAACACAAGTGTTTGTACAAAAGTGTTTGGATTTAGTTATGATTATGTCAAGTGTACTGAGTGACTTGATAATCAATTTGTTGTCATTGAAAAGCACAGTTCATTATCACTATCAATTTAAATGTGTTAAGGTAGCAGAATGCATCAAACTTGCACATCATCTAATAAATCTGTGGTTTATTAGGATGATAAGCTGTTGTCAGATATGTAAGACATAGAAACCCTGCTCGGCAGATTGTCTGTACTACTATTTTTTCTTACTGATAGAAAAAATAAGTTATTAGATTAAATTAAGTTATTAATTTATTAATTTACATAATCTAATTTAGATTCAATTAAGTTATATTAATATGTATTCCTTAAAGTTATAAACTTTAGAAAATTTTATTAGTAACAAAACCTAATGAACTTATGTCATTTATCTGCAGTAAGTTAAATATAGCTCACAAATATGTCTCCTTAACCTTGCTGGCTTGCATGTAGGCATGAATATCAAATGCAACATTCAAAAGCAGAAACTGGTGTGTGTCAACCATGTTGCTGAGTATGGCATGAAATTTATCCAATATTTCAAGTCAATTACTTTTTTAGTTAAAAAATTTTTTTTTTTAATAGTTTGTAGAGGATTATTAAAAATACTTCAAAAAGTGTAGTTTGTAATTTTAAAGACAGAAATTTGTAGAAAATAAGTTTTTTTTTTTTTTGTAAATGCTTAGGCATTTACAAATAAACAAGCATAAAAAAGAAAAAAAAAACTATAGAGAACTTGAAACTTGTCATTTTAATTATTTTAAATATTTAATAATCTGAGATTTGCATCTCAGATTATTAATTTTGAAAAACATGGGTCACTCGCTCAGATTATTAAATTTGAAAAACACGCCACTTTCCATTTAACCAACTCAAATTGGCAAAATATTTTCAACATGTCAAAAAATGTATAATAATAACAATAATAATAATTTTATTTTTATTATAGTTAATATTATAAATCTGTTTTTTAAATAGCAAATGAAAATGAAGATAAGTTCAGTAGCAACATAAGATATGGAAAAACATCGAGTGGCTCAGCTCCCTCAAGTGCAGATAAATTAGGAAAGAATCGTAATGGGTAAGTTTTTTTTTGTTACTTTTTTATTTTATTTAAAAAAATTTTGTATTTTAATTTTATTTTTAATTTTCTAGCCATTTACTTTGAATTTTTCTACTTAATTAAAAAAAAAGTTTATAATATGTTTACTTTTTATTAAGTTTTTTTTTATTTTAAATAGTATTTTCTTTTTATATATTTTACTATATATATATATTTTTTTACTATTATTATTTTTATTATTATTACATTTGTTAATACTTTTTTTTTATACTAATGTTATTTTTTACACTAAATAGTTTTTCTTAAAAAATATTTTAGTGACCCAAAATGGCTGGAAGAACTAAAACGCAACGACTCTGCAAAATCACAGACAAAAATTGTGAATGATTTTATTGAAACAAAAAACAACTCTGCTAGTTCTAAGCGAGCCCTTCCATCAGATCCATGTGATGTTAATTCTGGAAGGCGCAAGGTTGCTAGTTTTTGTCATGATTGTGGAGCAAAATATCCTGTTCCAGCTGCAAAATTTTGTTGTGAATGTGGTGTTCGTAGAATGGCTCTAGTTTAGGTGTTGCTGTTGTAAAATGTTTTTTTTTATTCTAACTTTTTAAACTTTGTTAACTATTTGAAAAATTTAGAAAAAACATGAAAGTTTTGTAAAAGGTTTCTGCATATTGGAGGTAAATTGTCGACTCAACTCAAGTCAACTTAATGTTGTTTGAAATTGACTCAATGTTGATCTTTTAAATCAACATTATTAATATCAAACCTTAGGCTGTTTTAATGTTGGTATATATTTTTTTTCAGTATCAAAAATTTGAAATAATAAAAAGAAAAGATTTAAAAGTACTATTTTATGTCAACATTTTAAGAAAGGAAAAATAAAAAGAAAAAGAAAAAAAAAATTTAATTACCTTCATTATACAGAAATTAAAGTATTTCATAGTTAGACCTGTATTATAGTGTAATTTATTTTAGGGTATGATGTTTCAAAAAAGTAAATTTTAAATTTTTTCAGTGAATTTTTAATTGTGAATATTGTTTTTTATTGAAATTATATAAAATTAATATAATATAAATTGATATAACTATGTATGCAAAATTGTAAAGAGTAAAAGCGATATAATGATTTTTAGAATAGTCTTTTTTTTTGAACTCACAACATAGGATTGTAAAAAAAAGGAAAAAAACTTCTTGTTTTCTAAATATTATTTAATAGAAAATAGAAAAGGAAGATTTTTAAAGTTTTTTTGCTGTTATGTTATTGAAATATTTTTTTTTAATTACCATATTCAACAAGTTGTTACTTTTTTCAATAATAAATTATCATCAAAACTTCATTTATTATAGTTTTTTGTAAATTTTTAAAATTCTATTTCTTGTTTGCTTAAGTTTGTTTATTTTTGATTCGATATCGTTTATTGTTATTTAATGTTCTAACTTGTTTATTTATGTTTATCATTGTTTATTGTTTACTTTTTACTTTACTATTGTTTTTTTATTTTTGTGCTCAGCTTATGTTTGATAAAATTTTTATCATGCTTCAATACTTATTATCCTGACAGAATAATTAGTGTATTAAATGTTGTTTTTTATATGAAATTTTATGTTTTAAAAAAAGTTTATACGAATTTTAGATGTTTGCTATGTGTTTGCACTTTTTAAAGTACTTAGTGAAAGAAATGCACAGACTTTATAAAGATGCTTAGTAAAAGAAATTTATAGGAAAAGAAAATTATAGGAAATAAAAGCAAAGGGTTTACAACACTAAACAATATTAAAAAAATTTTTTTTAAACGTAACTTGCATTGTATTAAAAAAAAACTGTTTTTTCAGTGAGACAAATTTATAAAACATTTGTACAAAAAAATGTTTAATTTACAAACCGCAGTTGTTGGCAATTATGAATATTTATTTAATGTAAGCACCACAAACGATTAATTAACTGTAAACTTATGTGAACTGTCAAATATTTTAATTTAGGGTTTTTTTATTAAGTTTAAAGTAAGAAATTAATTAATATTGATTCATGCTGCACCCTTAAATAAACATGTTGCACCCTTAATAAACATGCTGCACCCTTAAATAAACATGTTGCACCCTTAAGTCCTGATGAGAAAAAAGTGCTCTCTAACTTAGAAAAAATGAGTCATTTTGTTAGTTACATGGCTAGAGCTATTGGATGCAACCGAACTTTGATTAGAAACTACGCTAATAGCTCTCATACATATTGAATAAGAAAAGTCTTAGATGTCCATTAACATTAAATGATCGTAATAGGTAAGAGGTGTTGAGGCAAGCCTCAAATTCTTTATTAACTGCACATCAAATTGCTGCAGAATAAGATGTGATTGCTGATTTACGTTCAGTTCAGCAAGTTATTCATAATGCTTTTCACCTTTTGCGCAAAAAACTTTAGCAAAAACCACCATTGACAACAAAACATTTAAAGGATTGATTAACTTTTGCAAAGGACCACGTAACATGGAAAGAAGAGTGGTAACAAATAGTATTTTTTGACAAAAAATGAGTGTCTTGATGGGCGGGATAGATGGAATTATTATTTTCATAACGGTGTCAAATGGGTAGTGGTGGTGTAATGATTTGGTGTGGGATTGGGTGATCTTATCACAAGAAATCAGAAGTTCATTTTATTGACGAAAAAATGAATACTAAAGACTATCTTTTAATTGTTTGTGAATTTTTATGACGTGAAGCATTTGTCATTGGAGGTGAAAATTTTGTTTTTCATTAAGATAATGCTAACGTCATACAGCTAAGATAATGAAAGGTTATTTCATCAACAGTAAAATTGAAACATTGAAATGGCCAGCTAGATCCCCAGACCTCTGAGTATTATTGAGAATGCTATTGATTGAAGGTGAGAAACAGTATAGTGCACTAGCTAACATGAAATTATCCATTGCATTTGCATAAGATGCAATTGAAATTTTGTATCTAAAAAAGTTTTATGATTTTTTACCTTCTAGAATGATTAAAGTGATTCAAAAATAATGGTAAAAGTACTCACTATTGATTTTTTTAAATTGAGACTTGTTTTTTTATAAAAGACAATTTATATAAATTTTTTCCAAATGCGTCTTGTAATTTTGTTGCATTAAAGAAACAGTTTTATTTAATAAAATACAATTTATGTTTAAAACAAAAAAAAATTTAAGTTTTGTTTAGTTTTGTAAACCTTCTGTTTTCATTTACTATAAAAATTAGTTTTTAAATATAAATGTATAGTAGAGTTATAAATATTTTTGGGGTGCCTTATAATTTTGCCTTATTCATATATATATATATTTATATATATATATATATATATATATATATATATATATATATATATATATATATATATATATATATATATATACATATATATATATATATATATATATATATATATACATATATATATATATATATATATATATATATATATATATATATATATATATATATATATATATATATATATATATAGATATATATATATATATATATATATATATATATATATATATATATAGATATATATATATATATATATATATATATATATATATATATATATATATATATATATATATATATATATATATATATATATATATATATATATATACAGTGGGCAAAATAATTGTCCGTACATTAATGAAAAATATGGTTTTTTGAAAAAAGCTCTATAACTTTAAATGATAGAAAAAAATAAATTAAACCAATAGATAGCGCACAAGAAAACAAATAAAAACGATACACTATCTTTAATTTTCTCCTGACAATTTAAATTATAATTAACTTATTTAAAAGTTTTAAAAATTTTAAAACCAAAAAATTGTCCATACATTTGATTCAAAACGTAAAATTTTGTTTACAAATGATTTTTTTTTAACATCTTGTACTTTTAGGTTAAATATACTATAATAAATAAAAATAAACCTTTTCTTTACTACGTGGCTATGATGGAAGCAAAAAGAAAAGAATATAGTATTGACTTACGTAAACAAGTAATTTTTAATAGGGAAAATGGATTATCAATCAAAAAAATTGGCAAAAATGTTGAAAATACCACCAAGCTCTGTTCAATATATATGGGAAAAGTATTCAAAAACAAAATCAGTGGCAAATAATGGTGTACAAGGCAGAAAAAGATCAACAACACCAAGAGTTGACAGGTGCATAGTTGGGAAAATCGAGCAGAATAGAAGAAAAAATGCCGTAGAAGTATCAAAAGAGCTGGAAAATGAATTAAATATTAAATTATCGCCACAAACAATTAGGAACAGACTGCATGAAGCCAATATTTTTGCACAGACGCCTCGGAGAAAACCATTCATCAGCATAGTGAACAAGAGTAAACGGTTACAGTGGGCAAAGGAACATGTTCTGAAGGATGAAACATTCTGGATTATGATTATTTGATCAGACGAGAGTAAATTTAATTTATATGGAGCTGATGGTGGTGCAAAAGTTTATAGAAGAGTTGGAGAAGAATATAATGTGAAGTGTTTGAAGGTAACATTTAAATTTGGTGGTGGAAATGTTATGGTTTTGGCTGCATGAGTGCACCCGGTGTTAGCAAAATTGAATTTATTGATGAGAAAATGGATCAACACTTATATAGATCCATATTAGAACGGAATTTGGTGGCTTCAGCAGAAAAATTAGGACTTGGAACGGAATTTATATTTCAACATGACAACGATCCAAAACACAAAGCTGGACCTGTAACCAGATATCTTGCTGCAAATGGCATTAACGTGTTGGATTGGGTTGCACAATCACTCGATTATGCAAATAATCGAGCGATTATTTGCATAATCGAGCTATAGAACATTTATGGTCGGTGGTGGAAAAAAGAATGAAAGATCGAGCTCCAAAGAATAAAAACGAGCTCAAAGAATTGGTTTTAGATGTTTGGTCATCAATTAATCAAGAAATTACGTCTAAACTCGTCTCATCAATGAAAAATCTTGTAGAGCAGTTATTGAAGCTGATGGTGGTCCAACAAGATATTAATTTAATTTTAACTAGTTTTAATTTAAAAATTAACATAGTGTATGGACAATTTTTTTGTTTAAACTTTTAACTCTTTTCAAATAAACTTATATAACTTTTCATATATTAATATATTTTTAACTAATACACTTAAAATTACTTTAATATTATAATATTTCTTTAAAAACTCTTAATTACAACTATCTAAATACTTTTAAATGTTGTTTTGATCAAATATAGACACTTTTCATTAATGTACGGACAATTATTTTGCCCACTGTATATATATATATATATATATATATATGTATATATATATATATATATATATATATATATATATATATATATATATATATATATATATATATATATATATATATATATATATATATATATATATATATATATATATATAGCATCCTAGTCGCTACTTTCAGAGACATGTTTTTTTGTTACTGTTCTGTTTTTTTTTTTTTTTTTTACTTTTTTATACTATTTTTATCATATTTATATATATATTTTTTATTTTATTTCTATTTTTATTTCTACATATTTAAACTTAATATTTTGTTATAAAAATATATTTTTTATATTAGTTTTTGTTATTTTTATTTATTTATTTTACATTATAGTTGATTTTTAACTTCATCTATTTACAAAAACGATTAATTACAACAATATAACCAAATTTAAACCTTGTTGTAACCCTAACCCTAAGTCTGATCTTGATGCCTGGCCTAACCAAACCCTCAGTCGATGTAGCAGCACTCCCTTGCGAGTCTGGCTATTTAATAGTCTATGTATGTACTTTTCATTCTCTATAAAAGTTTCTTATGGGTACATTTTTTTACAAAAAAATAATGATTACGGGGACAAAAAATTATCGGGTATACTAAAATGTCCCCGATAATGCTTATGTCCCCGTAAGTGTTCGTTTTATTGTAAAATCTGTCCCCGTAAGTGAAAAACTATACAAATATATATATATATATATATATATATATATATATATATATATATATATATATATATATATATATATATATATATATATATATATATATAAACTGTAGTTTTAAAAAGAGCGCTTATAAACCAGACCAGAAATAGTTTAAAAATTTGAACAATTTTTTTTTTTTATTCAATGATAGACTTCCTGCCCTAACCAAACCCTCAGTTGATGTAACAGCACTCCCTTGCAAGTCAGGCTATTTGTCAGTCAATGTAGCAGCACTCCGTTGCTAGTCAGGCTAAAAGATAGTCGATGTAGCAACACTCCCTGCATGTTTTAAAAATATATTTTAATAAAACAACAACAAAAACACCGTTAATTAAAAAAAACTTTCTAATCATTATTGTTGTGGTTTTTTTTTAAAACGATAAAATTTAATGTACTTCCACATTAATTTAATTGCTTTGACATTTCGACAACAATAAAATGTAGCTTAATTGTCGGGGTAGCAAAATTGTAGTCAAAAGAGACTTTTTTTTACATTAAAAGTCTCTTTCGACAACACTATAAGGATATATATATATATATATATATATATATATATATATATATATATATATATATATATATGTATATATATATATATATATACATATACATATACATGCACATATATATATATATATATATATATATATATATATATATATATATATATATATATATGTATATTTATATATCTTTGTGTATAATTTTAGGAAATATAACAATCTTAATTTATCTATTAACATGTTTCACCAATGAGAAATACATTTTCAGATTAAATGACAATTTTTACAACTATGTTATTTAAAAATTTAACCTGAAGATGCCTGTTGATTACTATGAAAATTATCATTTAACTTTTAAGATATCTGTTGAAATTGATGAAACATGTTAACAAATGATGAAATTGATGAAACATGTTGTTAATAAATGAAGTATGTTGTTAATAAATGATGAAATTGGTGAAACATGTTGTTAATAAATGATGAAATTGATGAAATATGTTGTTAATAAATGAATTTAAAAAGATTTTGTATTTTTATAAAATAATTACTAAGTTAATCCTGTTTGCACTAAACATAAAATTGCCCACATAGTGAAAAGTCTAAGCATAGATCAGGAAAACAAAGAACATATTTAATTTTAAAGTATATAAAATTTTTAAATTTAAAAACATTTTTTAAATAAAGATTTATTTTTAAAAATAGTCAAGTAGTCATTAGGTTTAAAAAACTATTTGTTTGATTTACTTTTAATATAATATGTTTTAATTTACTTTATTTGCAAATTTTGTTAAAACTTTTATATTCCATTATTTAAATAAATATTTAAATAATGCATTTTATAAACTAGGAATATATATATATATATATATATATATATATATATATATATATATATATATATATATATATACAGTGGGCAAAATAATTGTCCGTACATTAATGAAAAGTGTATATATATATATCTACTATAGCATATTTATATGCGCAATTGCTCACTTTTTTTGCTAGCCTAAATTAAGTAAGCGTTTTTAGAAAACAATGAGGGAAAACGAAGAATAATGAATAAAAAGGTTGCTGACCCATACCAAACCCTCAGTCGATGTAGCAGCACTCCACTGCGAGTCAGGCTATTTGTCAGTTGATGTATGTATTGAAGCCCCCGGCAGCAGGCTATTTGCCATTAGGTGAGTATGACATCATCATGCTCACCTAACTCAGCAGTTTAAAATATATATGTATGTATATATATATATATATATATATATATATATATATATATATATATATATATATGTATATATATATATATATATATATATATATACATATATATATATATATATATATATATATATATATATATATATATATATATATATATATATATATATATATATATATATATATATATATATATATATATATATATTAATCGAACAAGCCAAATGTGCAAATAAGTTAACTTTAATACTCTCATAGATGTATTTAGGTTTATTCTCTATATGTCTTAATTATGACGTGAGCGCTCTGCTACAACATCACTACCTGATAACTATAAGTAAACAACAACTTGAGATTTTTAAATAATAAGTTCATAATCAAATTTTTATTAATCCTAAATCTGTTATTTTTTTCATAAATGTACTAATAAATATTTTATCTAATAGATGATAAGATCAGAAGAAAGTAGAACACATTAAAATGTCTCAATTGTTTTCCGATTATGAAAAACACTTTGGCATAATTACAGCAGATATTGTTGCCAAAACAAATAAATTACCAAATGTTCAAGGAGGTAATTAATAAGTGTATTATTTATTTAAATTATTTGAAATTTTTTTTGTTGTTTTTTAATGATTTTATAGTAGCATGTACATAATAGCTGTTGCAGACACATAATAGTAGTTCAAGTTATATAATAGGTGTTGCTGGAACATAATTTAGTACATTTTTTTAAAATTAAAAAAATTTTTAATTTTTTTAATTTTAAAAAAGAGTTTCAATTTAAAACTCAACTTTGGAATTACCAAAGTTTTCTGGCTTCAAATCCAGATTTAAAAGATCTAAATCTTTATTCTCATTCTTATTTTAAATCTCTGCATTTGCTAAAATCACCAAGGGGATAGGTTTGCTAAAATCACTAAAGGGATTAGCATTGCTTAACAATTGTTAATACTAGAAGTATTAACAGGTACTAATTAATTTGTTAGATAGTATTTGTAAAATTTATAAAAATGTGTTTACAGTATAAAAGGTATATATTTTTAAACTAAAAAAAAAATACACACAGAAAATTTCATGTAGCAATTTTTAGTATCATATAAAAGTTGGTTTTTAAAATTTTTTAAATACATGCAAAAAAAACATAAAAAGCACGTTTCAGTAATATGTAAAAGTTACATTTTGTCAAAAACTTGAAAAAATACACAGAAAATTTTGAACAATCCATTTTGTCAGTTTCATATAGAAAAAATATTATATATTGTTTTTAGATGAAAAAAGAGAACTGGTGACAAGTCTGGATCAAAAGTTTGATGATGCTCAAGAACTAGTTAGTTTTTTTTTTTTTTTTAATTTAGTTTAAATGTAAGAACTACTTTTTACCTTTTAAATACCTAAATGGATATGTATATATTTTATAAAGTATATGTATTAAAGCCACATATTTTATTCAGTTTTTTTTTTGGATTAGAAAAAAAATATTTTTTTCCTCAATAATTTATCAATTATCTTGGCTCACTCTTCATTTTATGATTTGATATGGGCTGAATATATATATATATATATATATATATATATATATTATATATATATATATATATATATATGCGGTAGTGGTGTAATGGTAGAGCGCTCGTTTCATAAACGAGTGGTTCCGAGTTCGATCCCCACCACGTCCCTGGTAGTACCGCGCTCAACTCGTTTCTCCGCGCAGCGGCCTTGTTCGTCAAGGTCCGTGTTTCGGAGTTATAGAGTTGAGAGAGGGTTATAGCCACAAATAAGTAGTCTCCTCGTCTGTAGTGGCCTTCTCGGCCTTGAGGAGGTGAATTGAAATAAAAAATATATATATATATATATATATATATATATATATATATATATATATATATATATATATATATATATATATATATATATATATATATATATATATATATATATATATATACATACAGTGGCGTAGGAAGTTCACAAAAGTTGGGGGTGGCTGAAAACAAATTATAAAAAAGAAAAAGTTTCTCAATTTTGTATGGTACAACAAAATAGATAAAAATGATCTATTTATTAAATTATTTATCACATGTAATATGATTACTCTTGGCACTCCTAGTGGTTTATATATTTTACTTTCAACAAATGTTTAATAGCTTTTCATAATCGTTAAGACAGTTTTACATTAATAATGTAATAAACTAAGCACAACATAATTAAATATTACAATAATATAATTATAAAGTAATACATTAAATATAACATAATTTATTAAGTTTGTAATATGTGAAACAAACTCTATGGTTTTCTAAAATATTGTTGATGCTCATCATTTGCCAAAGCAAATTCTTTATAAATAGTGCTGATGTCAACTTCTTCCAAAATATCTTTATGAATATGACTCACAATGTTGCTGTTTAATCTTTTTTGATTAATAGTAGAACGGAGATATGTTTTTAGCCTCTTTAGACTGGAAAATGATCTTTCTGCTGTTGCTGTACTGACCGGTATAGTAAGAAAGACTCTTAGAACTTTAGACACTTCATCAAACATTTTAGATGCATCATTTTCGGCAAATATTTCGGCTAATGTTGAGATGGTTGTTATCTTAGTAATTGGCTTTACTTTGTTGCTTTTGCTGTTTCATTAATTCAGGTAGCATGTGAAGTTGCCATGTTAACTTTGTCCAGTTGATGTCAGGGTACATTTTTGACAGTGATGGATCTATTTCGATTGTTTCTGACACCAAGTTTGCCAAGTTCAATAAAAGCGTTTTCATATTAATGGCATTTTTTTACAGATGGCTGCTGAAACCTCAAGTCAAGTTCACCAACCAAGAGATCAATGACTTCATAAAACTTTTGTTTGAAATAATCAGAAAATATGAGCTCTTGAGCCAGAATCTAACTGCCGTGGTTGTTTTCAAGTCCATGGAATTGATGGCTCACTTACTTCCAAATCATCAGCTTCAGATTTTACTTCCTTGTAGAACTGATTAAACAACTTATCTCTTAATCTTTGCAAATACTGTTTGGTGACTGTGACACACTTCATGGCTTCAGTTAAGGACAATGCTTTCGTTTGTAACGTATCTGAAACCTGCTCTGTTGCATTAAAAAAAAGAAACACATTTTCATGCTAGAATATATTTCATATTCTTGAAGCTGTTGCGATATTCACCTCGCTTTGGATCCAGAGTCATCTGATACCAATTCCCCGATTTCTGCCATTGCATTTATAACAGACTTGTAATTCGTTTTTTCTAACAATGCTACAAAGGCACTAGAACAAGCAGCCCAGCGAGTAGGACACAATGGCTTCAGGTTTTTAATGGGACCTTCGTCATTGTTATCAAACAACATCTGCTGTCTGAGTTTATTAAAGACATTGAATTACTTAGGTGAATTCTTTATCATGTTAGCAATTTTACATACATGTGAAAGACTGTCACGGACCAAAGTGGATTGTCTGGTACAGTCTTGCAAACACAAGTTCAAACAATGTGCAAAGCAATGGACAGAAATTGCTGCATTTCTTTCTTTTTTCAATTGAGCCGCTAGGCCACGTAAATGTCCTGTCATACTTGCTGCTCCATCATAAGCTTGGCCACGACAGTTAAGATTTAAGGAATATCAGAGTAGAACATCGGTTCCAATTGCTCTAGTCGGCATCTAATTGCTCTAGTTCATTTAGACCAAAGAAGTCTTTGCGCACGTCATCAACCTAACGTTTTCATCAACCTAACGTGTACAAATTGATAGCTGCTCTTTGTTTGAAATGTCCCTGGGTTCATCCCCTATAATGGCAAAGTATTTAGATTTCTGGATATGTGATAAAAAGTTCTATACATCCATTTACTATTATTGGGGGCAAGTAGTTTTTGCTCTGAAGCCAATTTTGTAGCCCTTTTACATCTTGTGATCTCAGTAACATCAATTGTTTAAGGTTGCCCTCTGTTTCTGTATGACCGCGTATTGCAAGACCTTGACGTAAAAGAAACTTTAAAGACGATAATTCTGCTAAAAACATTTGTTATCTTCTCTGGTTTTGTCTAATCTGATTTAAAAGTTGACTTGTTACAGATTTTGCCTTTTGATTTATAAGCTGGTACTTTTCTAAGGCTTTTCTATGTGAATCACTTGGTTCATGCTCATTAAATTTAGTAACTGTCTTCTTCCAATTGTCGAATCCCGTTGTTAAGAAGGCAGGTTCCTTTTTTTTGCTTAAGTCAAGTTTGTTGATACTTTCAATAAATCGACAATAGAAGCAAAATACTTTATACCTTGTTACGCAAAGTGTTAGCCACAAACATTTAGCATACTATGACTTTTGAAATATTCCAAACTCTTTTTTGTTTCCAGTTTGTTTTCTTGTCATTTTGAGTATACGTTCATTATATGGTTGGGCCTGGTTCATATTTGAATTGGAACATAAGGCCTTACAGTATGATGTAGAGGTTACTGAATCTGACTGTGAGGCTTGTGCATCAGTTATAATCAACAGCTCTTTATTTATATTTACTCTTAACTGTCTGGTAGTCTTGCTGACTTATTTCACTTTCTTGATTAGTACAGATTTCTGCATTTTTCTGACTGTGACTAAAGGATGCCTCCGTCTGTGGGGCATTAGCATCTTTTGACTCCTGTCTGTAAGTAAAAAAAAAGTTATGAGCGAACATAACTTTTTTTTAACATAACATTTCAAGGCTAAATATTGGGTGTTGTTTTTGATTTTTTTAATGGATTTTTTAACTACATTAGAGTTTGTGTAACGGCAATAATTGTGCTCACGTTAGGCTAACACATAGTGCGGTAAGATTTGGTAGGGAAAAATCCTCAATTCGCTTCGAAGTCATTGTTGATCTGATTGATAAGATAATATAAATACTGTAATTTAATAATTTATATTTAAATTAAATAATTTTTCATTTAGTCAAGCTGAAACAATATAGTTACAAAATAACAATTTTAAAAGTTGTATGAACATTAAAAAACTAGATAAAAATGTTGTCAATAAACTAAAACTTTATCATTATTATTATTTTTAACTTTTCATTCAATTGTATTTTAAAATTGTATAACGTTCTATCGTATTTCCAACGTTCTATTGTTCTAAACAACGTTGCATTGATTTAAGTAATATCAAGGTAAATAAACTTTAAGCATATTTTTATAAGCATGCTTATAAAAATAAAATATATGGTATGCTTATAAAAAAAATGATTCTGCAAAATCAAATTTTGTTAAAAAAAGCATATGATAAATAAATTATTGGAATTGTAGATAATGCATATATGATGCATGGAAACCATTTAAATTTGCATTTTTAATTTAAACCATTTAAACTAATGAAACCAAAGCTCATTCAGTTGTATGATGCGTAGACCAATAAAGTCCTTGCGCAGCAAAACTTCTATATTAGAACAGAAAAATAAAAGTATGGAAACAAGCATAATTTATAAAAAGTATGTTTATACATAAGCATATTTTAGAGCCTCCTTTGACATTTTGCCTAAGCATACCCGAATCTGTTTTTAAAATAAAGTAACATGTATGTTTTAATATAACCACCTTTTATACAACATGTTTTTCAATGCAATGACTCCATGAAAAACTGTAGTCATCTTTGCCATTCATTTAGAAAATAGTTAGTATGCGATAGTATCTTAAAGAGTTTTATGGATATACTTTTCCATGGTAATGTTTAATTGTGATTGAGTCATTGCAGACTGAAAAATTATAATTCCGCTGTTGATATCATAATTTTTTTAAAACTATTTAGTAATTGGGGGGGGGGGGGCTAAATGAAGTGTTCGCCCCACCAGTGTTTTAGTTGGGGGCTAATTCCCCCTCCACTCCTTTGTTCCTACGCCACTGTATATATATATATATATATATATATATATATATATATATATATATATATATATATATATACAGCCAAATTATTTCAAACTGTTATATTAACATAATATTCTATAATTCAATTAATATGAAAAAAATAATAGTGCAAAAACAATTGATAATATTCATTTAATAGGATTTAAAATGTCCTGAAAAACGTAACAAAATATCCTGGAAATGTCCTGGAATTTAACTTTTAAAATTTTGTGGCCACCATGTATTACTTTATTAATTATATTGTTAATTTTTTTTATAGTTAGAGCAGATGGACCTCGAAGTTAGAACTCTTTCGGCAGAGCACAAACAAAAATGCAGTGTCAAACTAAAAAACTATAAGACTGAATTAAAAAATCTTGAACAAAATATGGTGAATTTTTATACTTGTATTTATGTATTTTTTTTTTAAGAACTGTCAAGTAAATTATCAACTTTATAAGTAAATAATAAGTTATTAAATAATGTCAAGTAAATGCATTGTTAAAACTTTCTTCTTTTTAATTATGTTGTTTTAAAGACATATTCAATTATTCTATTTACGAAAATTTCTATTAAATAAAAACTAATAACAAAGAAAAAGCAGTAGCTGCACGCTAAACAAAGTTTTTAATGTCCATACATTATTGGCTTTTGTAAAAGAAAAATTTTTTAGAAGTTCGTAAATAAAAAGTTTGGAAAGTTATAGTAAGTTTAAATCTTTAACAACACAAACCAAATTTTTAAAACAAATTTTAGTAAACAATTTTTATTTTTTTTTTACTTTGTGTAAAATATTTTATTCATTTTATACCTGAACAGATTATTTTTTCTGACCTGTTTTTATTTGCTTTTCAAAAATCAAGTCTTAAAAATTCCTTAAAAGCTTTTTTGACAGACTTGTGCAATATGTGACTTTGCAGCTGCGTAGTTACAAATAAGTTTGTATGTCTACATCTTCAAAAGTTAAATTTTTTTCAGTGAAAAATGTTACAAATTTTTTTTAAACCATTAAGATAGTTTATGGAAAGCAAAGTTTTCACAATAATCTTGACTGATTTTCTAATCTGGAGTCCATTTTTTTTTTACCAGTGATGGAAATAAATAATGTTTTTTAAGACAAGGTGTAAATGTATTGATGAAACACAGTGTATAATTTAACAATTTATTTAGTGTTTTCTATTAATTTATTAATGTTCTGAGCATTTTGTAAAGGTTTTAGAACCTGAAATTCATATAATGTATCTAGAAAAGTTTTGAAATTTTTAAAAACCCAGATATACCATATAAAGTAAGCTTCTTAAAAAGACCAGCATTCCATACTTTATCATGGATCTTTGATATGTCAAATACAATGGCCCTTGCCTCATCGCTTCCATCTGATGCACAATAGGACCTGTTATATAAGGTAATTAGTCATATTACCTGTTATAACAGAAATAAATTTAAAATAAATACATGTAAATGTATTTATATAAATGTAATTTATATAAATGTAAAGATTTAGAAACTGAGAAGGGTAAAGGAAACAGGTTATTAACATTTTTGTTATTGAGCCAGCTTAATAACTAAAAAGCTCACTAGGAGATCACTGAAAGACTTGCCACTTTCGAGAAATCACAAAAATTCCAAGAAGCCACAAATTCTATAAATATAGTCAAGAAAGTTCAGCTCTTACGGTTTTATAATAAATATGCTACACGAGTTTGTAAATAAACCGGAAGATTTCTGGCATAACAATAAAAGTATCTACTTTTCCAAAACTAAATCTTTAGTTGTCTTTGACAATTAATCTTCATGAAATGCTGTCTGCTTTCTGTAAATATTTCCTTAACTCAGAGACACTGTCTGATATATAAAAGTATTTATAAAAGTATTATTATTTCTTCATTAATAATTTTCTTTCTCTGTTATCTATCAAATAATCTAATTAATTTTTTTCAAGTAACGTTTTTTATATTAACAATTAATATTTTAATGCTTTCACAATTTATTTTTTTTAGAAAAAAGCCAAGTTTGCTTTTTCTAATCAGGATCTATTACGATCAGAACTGTTAAGAGGTGATGATGGTCCTCACTCAGAAGATCAGGTGATGTCTAATATTTTATTAATATCTACACAAAAATTTTAGCATTTTCTAAATGATACAATATTTTATTACTTTGCATTCCTACAAATTGTTGATTTGTACTTTTACCATATATATTATGGTATTGCCATACCTAATATATAAAAGCATTTTGAACGCAAGATATATGTTGTTCTAAAAGAAAAAATAATCTATATGTTGTTTCCACCTCCTGTTAAGGGAGCGATCTATGTTATAATAATTTTTAATAATTGATAATAAGGTTATCAAAAATTATTATAAAAGATGATCATTTTTGATAACCTTATTATCAATTTTAATTGTTTATTAAAAAAATGTATTATTTATCATTATATTTATTTATCTGATATATTGTTTTGTTTTAGTAATTTAGTTATTTCTTATTTTTATTTATATTAAGGATAAAAAGTATTTAATGAAATTTAAATATATTATATAATGAACCAAAAAATTTTTTAATTTAAAAAAACACAGCTTGCAATATGTCTAACATTTTTTTTTTGGTTCTAAAATACAGTTTAATTGCTTTCGCCACAACGTCTTTGCAGTGGTCTTGTTTGTCAACTTGTTTCTCCTTCTGGTCCTCACAGTGTTTATTAGTGGTTTGTTGTTAAAAGGTTGAGAAATGCTTGTAACAACAATGGAAAAAAACAAATAATTTATGTTAAGTAAATTTAATTACTTTTTTCTATTTGAGTAATGATAGATCATCAAAAAAATTGATGGAAAAAAAAAAGTTTTTCTTGGGTAAAGTTTATTATAATAACATGATCGCTGGTACGACAATTTTTAAAATGCTTTCAAATTGGTTTATTTTGTTATTCAAGTTTTTTTGTTCATGAGGAAAACTTTTTTAGTAAAGTAGTTTCATTCCATAAATTTCAGATGCTTCCAAAATGTTCCAAAATTGGTTATTTTAATCTATTGAATGAATCTTGTTGTTTTGTGACAAACTTTTGAAGAGTATAAATTGTATAATACCACTGCTGACATAAATTAACTGTTATTGCAGGAAAATTTTGTAGGCCTGCAGTCAGTTATATTTTGCTTTCTTGTGATGAGCTAAAATTATCCTTTAATTATTTTGAAAGATTAGTATTAGATTATGAAAAACCTTTAATAAAAAATTAATGCTTAAAAACTTACATTTAGTTCCTTCAAAAACAAAAGATTTATGATCTAATATAAACTTATCCATGAGCATTATGGTTTTTAGCAAACATAATGCTCATGGATGTGTTTATATTTAATTCAACATGGCACTAAGCATTTATTAATATAAATGTTGGAGCATTTCAGCTAAAAGCCAATTTGTGGCTTAGGTATATCTTAATTGGAAAGGGTTATCCAAATAAGAATCTTTTTTGGATACTTCTGCTAATTAAACACTATCTGGATATTTTCTTTGTCATATGTGTAAATAATGATCATTTCTCTGCATGCTTAAGCTGTTTAAAGTAAAATACTTTTTCTGTCCCAATCACATAAAATGTCTTTTAATGAGTTACCAAGTGCACAATTTTTTTACTTTTTCTCGCATTTAAAACAAGAAACAATCGTTTTTAGTCTTTATTGTTGTTTGTTGAACCCAAATTTTTTTGGTTACACTTAGTTAACTGACTCCTTTATGATTGGAAAATTTTTTTTGCATCAGCCTTTTAGTAGCTATCTAAATAGATCGTTGTCTAGTTTTCTGTTCAATGGGCTCACAATTGATAAGCTCACAATTGATGGGCTCACAGTTGATGGGGTCACAATGCTCTAATATGTTGCTTTGTAAATTTTTGATCACGTGACAATTTTTTTAAAATTTGGTTAATCAAATCTAAAACTCAGATTTTTTATTTGTGGAAACTTTTATTAATTTTTTCAAGATCACATTATCACAAGTTAGATCACATGGTTAGCAGATAACATAATCAGCAGATAACATGATCAGCAGATTGCATGATCAACAGATCCAAGGTCGCTTATAAAATTTAACAAAAAGTTTAGATTTTTGATGTTATCTCATCCATCACCTCATCAACCATGATTTATAAACTTATTTATATAGATTTTATACTTTGGTTAAGTAAAACAGTAAAATTTTTGGATGAAAATTAGTTTTCTTTGCTAATCAACTTTTGCAATATTTATAAGGTCTTTGATGGAAGAATGCAGATGTAAATATTTATAAGGTCTTTGATGGAAGAATGCAGATGTAAATTTTATATCATCAACTTTTCAAAATGTTTTTAATTAGACGACTATTACGTACCTTGCAGAAGATATAAAAGAGTTTTTGAACCTCTATTTAAGTTTTATAAAATAAAACATTAAAAAACTTAAAGAGTTTTTTAGACATTTTTTTTTTTTTGCTTTAAATTAATAATATAACAATCTCATAAATTAACTTAAACTTGAAACAATTTAAAAACTTAAATAGTTTAGGATAATAGTTTAGTTTTGAATAGTTTAAACTATTTAGGTTTTAAATAATAGTGATAAAATATAATAGTGAAAGTTAGTTGCTTTTATGTCCAAGACTCAAAGTCTATAAAAGCTATGAAAATGCTGACTACATTCCATCCTAATTTTTACATCATATGGTTTTTAATTACATGTCTTGATCATAAAACAAGTTAATTATATCAATTACAAACTTATAATTAGATTTTCTAATGAGATTATACTAAAGTCGTGAAATTTTCATTCTGGTTTTCTTTCTGGTTTTGTTAGTAGTGTTTTATAATCTTTAAGGATGAGATTCAAAAAGGTGTTAAAAGTATATTGTAATTTTGATCCTGAATTTGTTTTGAGTTTTAATTGTTATTTCTACTTTTTTTTGTTTTTACAAATTTTATCAATTTCTATATGAAATTTTATCAGCAAGAAAATGCAATTAATATTCAAAATTGAAAATATTTAAAAAGCGTTTTATGCATTAGGATGTCCTGAAAATTAAAAGATTCCTATTCTGTAGGGCCTATAGGTTTATAGTTTTTTAGGATGAATAAGTTGATAGATAAAAATTTTGACTCTTGATTTTTTTTAATTTACTTTTAAGTATAAATTTGTTTTTAAACTGAATTGATCCTAAAACCATCTTATAAAAAAAGAAAAGAGATAAAGTCATACGCTTTATCTCTGTTCTTTTTTTTTATGAGACGTTTTTTTCCAATTAAATCATGGAGTCCCCTTTCAACCCCATTCCCTCCTCCCCACACATGTTCACACACACATTGTACTTTCACCCATTTAGTGTACACATTAGGGTTCATTTAAACAATTTTTAAATGTTATCTTGCATTAGAAAAAAATATTCAAGCTTATTGAACATTTATAGGATCCCTAATATATGTATAAAAAAAGTTTTTAAAATTGTATTATACACACCTGGCAATGATAAACTAATAACACATTCTTACACTGGTTTCGATCACTGTGAACTCTGCAATCTGTATCAAGTATTGTCAAAATGAACAAGAAGGCATCTTTCCTTAAAATAGTTCATGGCTGATATGATAGTGAAAAAGTTTTTAAGATCCATATTGCCAGCAAAAAAAAACAACAAAGTAAATGCTAAATGTGATCCTACATCAATAATAAACTTGAAAAGCTTGAAGCTTGGAACAAGAACATTTTTTACTTTAGGTTATATCAAAGCAAAATAGTTCATTACTGTTATTTTAAGTAATGGAAAAAAAAATAGTTTAAATAGAGTAGTGTAAACAGACAAAAATAATATTATAATCATAGTTTTGACAATTCACGTCAATATTCAACTGTATGTGAAGATATACAATTGAATACTGAGGTGCGATGTTAACTGTAGCATACAGTAGCAACACAAAAAAATGCAAAAAAATGGTTCTAAATTTGATCTTGCAAGGAGCTCATGCTAATCAGAGGAATATTTTTAATACTCATAGTGATGTAAATAAATTGAACATGTAATGTAACATTGAGTTTTATTATTAACTTGGATTTTCTTCCACTTTTACCTTTAAATGTTGAAGAGCAACTGTTTACATAAATTATTTTACCAGTTGCATGATGTATGTAATCCTGGAAAAATAAAATAAGTTTTTTGCATTTGTATTTTAATTGAAATGCGTGCAACTCTTTTGTTTACTCTATAGTTTCTAAATACTAGAAAAGTCAAAATTTACATTTGTCACTATTAATTATTCCAGAAACCTAAAATTAATATTTTCCAGACCTAAAGGCTCTACAGAATAGGGTTAGCTTAAAGAATCAATTTTTTTTTTGAATTAAAAGCTGATGTTGATTTCCTTCAAACAAGAAAATGTGTCTATTTTATCATATTATAAACAGGTTTGCTGTTGTGTTATTATTGTTTTTATCGTTGTCTTTTTTTGTAGCGATCTAATCTTTTGGATAATTCAACTAGACTGGAGAGATCAAATAGAAGGTTAGAAGAAGGATACAAAATATGTTTGGAAACAGGTGATGTGCATTTTTGGTACTGTTTTTAATTTTGGATAATATGTAAGAAAATACCTCAAAAAACCTAGACCAATGAGATTAACTCTTCATATCCATTTTAATATTTTTTTTATTAGATTTTTTTCTTTTAGAACAAATTGGTCACGAAATTATGGACAATTTATCTAGAGATCGCGAAACGATGACTCGAACGAGAGATCGGGTAAGTCATTATTTTTTATTACCTATAAAATAAATGTAAATTTATAAAACTTGATTAAAGTTTATTTTAAAGATGATTTTTTGTTTTTTTTGCTAACTTTGTGTGTACTTTTTTTATATTTAAGCTTCGTACAACAAATACAGATCTTTCAAAAAGTTCAAGAATTCTAACGGCAATGATGAGAAGGTGAATTTATGTTGTTTATCTCGCTGTTCTCGTTTTTAACAGTTTATTAATGAAGTCAGTGGCCTTTCTAGAAAAGGTCAGTTTTTGAAATAAATTCTCCTAAAATAAAGACCAATTTAACTATTACAAAGTTTAACAAAAAAAATTTTAAAGTCTTTTATTATGGTGCTTTCTGTTAATTGATTTAAAAGTTTTTAAAAAATGTGTAAGCCTAAGATTCATATCTATAGCGACCTAAATATGTATCTTTTTTTTTTAGGGTTATTCAAAATCGAATTTTACTTGTTTTTGTATGTTTGTGCCTCATTTCAGTAATAATTGTTGTCATTTATTTCTCTGTAAGAAAGTAATATAACAAGCAGTCACTGTTTGTTATATAAAAGTAAAATAAGCGAAACTATATTTTCTTCTGTTTAAATAAAAGAAGCATTATTTTTATACGAATCTATTGCTGCAGTTAAACTCTCAAGCCAAACATTCTAAAATCTTTTAATATTCAAAAATATTTGCTTTGAAACACTGAATATTTTGGATATTTACTGTAATTATTTATAAATATCTTTTAGATATTTTTGCACAATACCATCAATATACCATCATTAATATCATTTTACTACTTTTTTATTTTATTAATAATTTATTTACTAGTTTGATTAATTCATCAACCTGTAGGTTCTATAAATTTATGTAAAATATATTTAAAAATGTAGTTTTTTAATCTTTGTTGTTTGTTTTTTTTCAAAAAGTAATTGTATTAAATCATGTTTTAATTGTTTTCGTTATTGAAAAAACTATTTGCGTAGTCAGTCAAATATTTATAATGAATGCAAAATTTTTGTCGGGAAGTCCCATAAACGTAATATTATATTCTAATATACATTGAAATATTAGATATTAAAATTTAAATGTGTTTAACAGCTAAAATAATAAAATGTAGAGTAACTAGAGACAATATGATGAATAGGTCAAAATGACGTTTTTTATAATAACTCAGTAATAAAAAAAAAGATCAAGTTATAATAATTATAATAAAACAATTATAATAAATTAAGTATAAAACTTATTATTAATTATAAATTATTGCAATAAAATAATAATTATAACAAATTAAAATAAAATAATAAGTTATATTTTTTTATAATAACTCAGTAATAAAATAAAAAGATAAGTTTGGTTTTTTGAAACATTGTTTACAAGATTTTAGACGCACCGTGCACCGTCCTCCTGAAACCGGGTTAAGTGTCAAGTCCGTTCCCGGAGAAACCGCGATATACCTGTAAAAGCTTATGACCTGGGGATTCCAGAAATACCAAAATTCAAATCATCCTATTACATCCGAAAAAGAAAAATCATTTTGAATTTTTTGTTCCATATTGCACAGATATGAGAAACGACAGCATTCAAAAGTTTTACATTTTTACAGCAGCAAATATTTTTTAAGATATATAATTAAACTAAAGACATATAAAAATATCAAAACATGTAACTTTAAAAATATTTAATATGACAAAAAAATTCGGGGAAAGGCACTTTTTTCTGAACGCAAGTTCTGTGAAGGTCGAGTCTTCAGCTCTCTTTGAAAAAATAAAGAAAATGCCTAATTCAGCTCGAACTCAAAACTAAAACCGCAAGGCTGTATGCCTATTGTGTTGAAAAAAAAGGCCAATATTGTGCTGACAGCATTTTTGATTGACAAAGTCCAAAAAATATATAGCCGAACAATTGACTTTGATGACTTAAAAATTCCTCAAGGTCTGTGTGACCCATACAGAACTGCTTTAAGAAAACGTGATGAGGGGCAACAAGTGGAACTGCCTCAACTATTTCAGTTTGAAACAATAATTGTTAAGCCCCAAACAAGAGGACAGCAATGCAACTGCCTAATCTGTTGCATTGGAAAATTGAAATTAAAGGAAATACACCCACTAGAGATGGAAAAAAAATGAAGAACAAAGCTCTGATAGGCGTTGCTCAAAATGTCTTTCTCTAATTGGTAGGGGTCAGCCTCATCTATGCTCGACTACTCAGCTTCGTGAAAATTTACAAATTTTGGCAGCAGGTGATTGCACAGTTGCAGAACAAATTACATCATCAGCAATTGCAAACAAGGAATCATCTCCTCATGGAACAGTTTGTATTGCCTAAGCAAAGAAGGGAAAATCTCTGCCAATAACTTCAAGTAATGTACCTCAAAAACTTTTTCAAATTTAGGTTTTGGAAATAATTTTAAATAGGTTTTGTGTATTTATAGGACCATCAAGTTCAAGGCAACTTTTCAAGGATCATCCAATTGTCTCCGCAAAAGCTCTTGCTCAAATTCAGATAAATACAGGCTTATCAAACACTGGAATTAAAAAGTTGACATCTACAGTGAACCATATTACTGCTGCTAAAGTCTTTGAGCCAAATATTCTTAAGAAGTTTTAAGAACTTGGAAAAAGCTTGGGAGATAATTTCACTCAGACTACCACGAAATTTATCTCCTCTGATCAGACAAAATCAAACTGCATTGTTGCTCATTGCAAAAAATTGAACAGTCTCATTGAAGAGCTTCTTCTCTCACGAAAGATTTTTTCAAACTTGGAATAGATGGTGGTGGAGGATTTTTAAAAGTTTGCTTGGGTGTCTCTGCCAAAGAACCGGAATATGGAGAATGTTCACTTCCCAACAAACGTTTTCTGACATCTCAAGCCTTTAAAGATTCTGGAGTCAAAAAGCAACTTCTCGTGGCTATCGCAGAAGGAGTTCAAGAAAACTACACAAATGTTAAACTCATTCTCTCACTTCTTGCCATTAAAGATGTCAATTTTGTTATCTCTTGTGATATGTTGGCAAACATCATTTGTGACTTACAAGCACATTCTTTTTCCCATCCCTGAACTTGGTGCAATGCAGAGAGTTTAAACCTTTCAAATTGTGGGACACTTCGAACTTTTGGGTCTTTGAAGCAGTCTTTCAATGAGTTTGCAGCAGCTGGATCAAAAACAAAAAATACCAAGAAGTTTGGAAATGTGGTTCATGAACCAATAATCTCTCTTGGTGATTCTGCCTTTGTCTTTGATCTCATACCACCAATGGAGCTTTATCTGTTTTTGGGAGTAGTAAACCATCTCTTCAAGATTCTTAAAAACACGTGGCCAAAAGCAGATGAGTGGCTTCAAGCATTGAACATAAAAGCTCAGGCCTTTCATAGAGGACAATTTGTTGGAAATGATTGTCATAAACTGCTTAAAAACCTCAACATTTTTGATAAAATTAATCATGGCGAAGAGAAAATTAAAGAAAATCCAAAAATTTCTTCTTGGAATTGAATTTACATGCAGTTTTGTTTCCCAATCTGAATTTTTTTCTCGAATACTTATGTTTTGAAAACTTTATTGGTTCATAGAAAAGTTTTATTTTTAAAGAATACTGTAAAAATGCAAAATTTTTGAATGCTGTCATTTCACATTTCGGTGCAATAAATAATAAAATTCAACATTGTTTTTCTTTCTCGGATGTAATAGGATGATTTGAATTTTGGTATTTCTGGAATCCCCAGGTCATAAGCTTTCACAGGCATATGGCGGTTTCTCTGGAAACAGACTTGACACTTAACCCGGTTTCAGGAGGATGGTGCGTGGTTAGGATTGTTTTAGAAATGGTTTTTTGCAACTAAAGTTTATTTTAAGATACAATAGCCAAACTAGTTAATATTACTTAAGATTTAATAAATCTGATGACAGAAAACGCATATATGTGTTTGTGTATGCAGGGTGTCTGCCAAATCAGGGAAAAAGTCGAAAAATTCAGATAAAAAAAAAACAAGAAATAATCAGGAAAAAAGGCTATATGACTAACTGATATGAAAAATATCAATTATATATTATACGCTATGTAAGAATTAAATCAGCAATATTGCTGAAGATATGAAATTTTCTAAAGTCATACAATTCTAAAGATAGTGGATATCTGCTCCAGAGTTGCGTTAGTTCTTGAGACCTGTATGAGTTTTTGATTATTTCTTACATTACGTACGTACTAATTGCGTCACAATAATTCCAGAGGGCACAAGACGTATGAAATACGTCTTATACCCTCTGGTTTTGTAATTTATACTTATTTAAACCCAGAAATTTCTCAATCTAGTGTAATACTGTACACATAACTATATTTATATTTAATAAAATAAACTAATAAAATTTCTTTTGAAACAGTTATTTTTTGTGCGTAGATATTTAACCGCTAAGCAAAATTTAATAAAATTCAAACCATATATGGAATATCAAATACCATATATAGAGTTTTGCACAAATTTATGGTGTTTGAAATTCCATATGTGGTTTTGCTTACACTAGTTTTTCAAATATTAATTACAACGAACTTTGAACATTAAATTCAGTTTGTTTTATAACTATAAAATTAAAGAAAGATTTAATATAAATACATTTAAAAAAATATCAATAGTAAATAAGTTTAAGTTAAGTATGTATTTATTTTTAAATATATATTTATAGGAATAGGAGCAGTGTTTACAAATTGACTAATTTTTTAGACTTAACGGAGTGTCAACTGGTGTTGGAATGAGCTTAGTGAATAAATCAATTGTGTCTTTTGCTTAAGACTGCTTTATAATAAATAATTTATTTTATATATTTTAAAAAACTTTTCAGCCTTGTTCTTTATCTTCTTAAATTTTTGGAATAAAGATGAAAGTTTATGGAAGAAAGAAAAACTATTCAAACCATGCGAAAAGATTGATGACAACAGCAAATACTGAAGGCATTAAAACGACAAAATAGAAAACTTAAGAAAGCACTCTTACGGAACGGAAGTTCACAGATTCCCGAAATCAGACATTTTTAAAACTGGATCTTACACATCTCTTGTATGAAAAGATATAATTTCTATTAATTAAAGTAACTAACGTTTTTTTAATTAATGAAACAGTAAACAAATTTCCTTTCTTAAATTTAACTCCATATTTTACACGCAGCACTTACCCAGAAATCATTTTATTCATTTTGTAAAAAACTGTGTAAAAAACAGGTTACGAAGAAAATATTCAGGATTTTCTTTATCTTTTTATATTCAACAAAATTAAAGAACATTACTACAAAATTAAAGAACATCACTAATTAGTTGGATTAACTAAATATTTTTAAATTAATGTAACCATTTAGGGAGTGATATTGCTTACGATGTTATTTTTAAATTAATGTAAATATTTAGGGAGTGATATTGCTTACGATGTTCAAAAAACTTTATGAAACTATAGTTAAGTAAGAAGTTTGATAAATTTAGAACAAAATTGAATTGAATTTTATACATCTATCTAGAATATAAGACTTTTATATACCTAATTAAAATATAGCAATAAAGAGAAGTAAACTATAATAATATACAGTAACAACATTATAAGTAATATAGTAATATAAGTATCAGTAATAATAATAAGCAATAATAATAAAAACTCCAGTTGTTGGTATTAATAATCAAAATAATAATAATACTAACGATAAAAATAACAATAATAATAATAATAAAAATAATAATAATAATATTAATAAGAATAATAATTAACAATAATAAAAATAGCAATATTTATAATAGTGAGAGTTGGAAATAGAGTAGTGATATAAAAATAATATTAATTTTAGAAAAAGTTAAGAAAAAGCAAGTATTAGTAGGAATAAATTAGCATTGAAATGAAGAAAGTAGTTGATAAGAATTTTAAAG